TGATTCAATCCAACAAAACTATTCAACAATATTCACCAAGATATTCCTCTTTCGATTAAATAAAATAATGAGCAAGGTTGCAATTCAATTCAAATTCCCATAACAAGTTCAAACATAAGAATGAAAAATCAAAATCCCAACAAATTCATCAATACAACATGTTTGTCAAATGCCCTTTAAGAATCTACTCCATGGATGAGAACAAGTTTACTAAGAACAAAGATGAAAAAGAAGACATAGTAATCAAACTATGAATCCCAACTTCCGTTTTGGATTCGAGTAGTGTTCCACCTCCTCTTCTTTGTAACCTAGCATTTCTTTTTGCTCTTTTTCTTGATATTCTCGCCTTGGGGAAAGCTCCAACATCATATAGAATAGGGTTTCCTTCGAAATTCCAAAAACACCCTTCATTTAATGATTTCACACCACCCCGTCGTGCGTACGCACCGCTAGAAACCTAAGCACGCGATCGGCACGCGGAGAGGCAGTAGCTGCTTTAATGTGTCCACGCGGACGCGCTGCTGGACACTTGGGCGCACGACCACCGCGCGGGCAGATAGCTTAGAAGATGCACATTTTAGTTCTTTTTTCTTTCTTTAGCATTCTTGTTGACCTTTCTCACTAATCATGTTCAACACTTGAATTTGTACACGTACACATATGAAACATAGATAGTTAATTGCAAAGTTCACATTTAAAACTTGTATAAATTCATCTCATTTAATTAACCATCAATCTCACGTGTGTACAAGCCAAGTTTAAGTAGAGTCGATGGAGACGTTTGTACTTATCTTCAAGAGGCTACAAAGATTGTTAGGAAACTTCCTTTTATTCATCCTTTCTTATCGTGCGTGGTTACCTTCGCTAGTGTTGAGTTGCCACATGTTGTTTTGGCAGATGCCAAGGACTAGAGCTTCTGTTTCCAGTGGTAGAGGGGAGGCAGTCCCTGAGGCTGTTGGTGAGACCCCAACTAGGGGTAAAGGTAGGGCCCGAGCTAGAGGTCGTGCTCGTGGAGTTGCACCAAATAGAGGTTGTGTTCATGGAGCTGCACCAGCCAAAAGGTAGGGCTAGAGAGGCTTCTCCTAAGCATCAAGTGAGGTTGTTGAGGACCATATTCCTCCTGAGTTCGGAGTTTCATTGTTCAAGAGACTTTGTTGAGGATGCTTGGTTTTTTAGAGAACCTTTCTCCGGGACCGTAGACTCTGTAGGCTAGGTTGTGCTCGTGGAGTAGCACCAAGTAGAGGTCGTGCTCGTGGAGCGGCACCAGCAGAAGGTAGGGCTAGAGAGACTTCTCCTAAAAAACAAGTGAGGTCATTGAGGACAATATTCCTCCCGAGTTTGGAGTTTCATTGTTTCAAGAGACTTTGTTGAGGATGCTAGGTGTGTTAGAGAACCTTTCTCCGGAGGCGCAGGCCCCATGTCAGCAGCAGACTCCAAGTGTTCATGTTCAGGTGCACCAACCATAACTAGTTCCCGCACCTGTTATTGGTGCACAGATTGCTCATGGTTACTTTGACAACGACAGATCATCAATGCTATGAGAGGTTTTAGAAGATGAAACCACCTCAATTTCAGGGTGGTAAGAGCGAGGATGCTCATAAGTTCTTGACCTTGTGCCATAAGATGCTTAAGGAAGTGGGTATGGTGGATGCTCGTGGTGTTCGGTTTGTTGCACTTCAGCTTCGTGGTCGCTCCAGAGAGTGGTGAAGGACTTTTGTGAGGTCTAGACAAGTTGGATTTCCTTCGGCAGAGTGGGATGTGTTTTCTAGTGCTTTCCTAGACCACTTCATTCCTTGGAGCGTGAGGGAGGAGAATCGTTTGAAATTTGAGAGCTTTGTTCAAGGAAGTTTGCCTATGACCGAGTATGAGGTCCGTTTCTATGAGATTTCTAGGCATGCTTAGACTATTATTCCAGATGAGGCAGAGAGAGTTCGTCGGTTTGTGAGAGAGTTGACTTTCTCCGCCAAGTCTTATGTGTTCAGGGCAGTTAGAGAGGGGGCTCCTTCCAGTCTATTGTGAGCACCGCCAAAAAGGCAAAGTTGATGATCTTAGATGAGTTTGGGGAGCCCAAGAGGGCTCGTTCTTCTGGTCAGTTTTCTGGTACCTCATCTGGAGGCAGAGGTTCACATAGAGGTAGTGGCTCCTTTCAACGTCATGGGACGGTTCATGCTTCTATGCCAGCAGCCGAGAGTGGGCAGTCAGCCCGAGGATCTTATGGTTCTGGCCGATGTGGTCATAGGTAGTTCTTTTGATTTGTAGCAGCAATTATCTGTGCCGAGATCTTGCTATACGTGTGGGGATCCAGTTTATTTGATGCGACGGTGTCCTCTATAGACTCATTCAGGACATCGGCGTTCTTTTTCAGTTGCTCCAGCTAGGGATCCAGCGCCTCCGACCAGGGGTCGAGGTAGAACTTAGGCAGGTAGAGGTTACTCCAGGTCTGTAGGGTGGCGGTAGAGGTTCTACTCAGGCTGTAGGTGGCCGAGATGGCCAGTGTTATGTTTTTCCAAGGAGGCCTGAGGCTGAGACTTATGATGTTGTGATCATAGGTATCGTCCCAGTTTTCCATCGACCTATATCTGTATTGTTTGATCTGGGATCTACTTTCTATATGTGCCTACCTATTTTGCTGTTAAATTTGATATGATGTCTGATTGCATGCATGTGCCTACCTATTTTGCTGTTAAATTTGATATGATGTCTGATTGCATGCATGTGCCTACCTATTTTGCTGTTAAATTTGATATGATGTCTGATTGCATGCATGTGCCTACCTATTTTGCTGTTAAATTTGATATGATGTCTGATTGCATGCATGTGCCTATTCATGTTTCTACACTAGTGGGTGAATCCTTAGTGGTGGATCGAGTGTATTGATCATGTCTTGTTTTTTTGGCTGTGTATGATATTTGGGTAGACCTTATCATTTTAGGGATGGTAGACTTTGATATTGGATATGGATTGGCTTGCTCCGCATCATGCTATTCTTGATTGTTATGCTAAGATTGTGACCTTAACGATGCCGGGTGTCCCAAGAGTTGAGTGGACGGGTGTTAGTGGTTCTTACCCTAGCAAGGACATCTCCTTCCTTAGAGCTCAGATATTGGTTGATAGAGGGTGTTTTTCCTACTTGGCGTTCATTCGGGATACTAGAGTTGATCCACCTCCCATGGATTATGTGCCCATGGTTCGAGAGTTTGTAGATGTGTTTCCTACTGGTCTTCCAGGTGTTCCCTCCGGATAGGGATATCGATTTTGCTATTGACTTTGAGTCGGGGACCAAGCCCATCTCTATTGCTCTGTATCGTATGGCTCCAGCCGAGTTGAAGAAATTGAAAGATCAGTTGCAGGATTGGTTGAGTAAGGGGTTTATTCACCCTAGTGTTTCTCCCTGGGGTGCTCCTCTATTGTTTGTGAGGAAGAAGGATAGATCCATGAGGATGTGTATTGATTATCGATAGTTGAACAAAGTGATAGTGAAGAACAAGTATCCTCTTCCTTGTATTGATGATTTGTTTGATCAGCTTCAGGGTGCATTTCTATTTTCTAATATTGATTTGAGATCTGGTTACCATCAACTGAAGATTAGGGCATCGGATATCCCTAAGACACCCTTCAAGACTCTTATGGGCAATATGAGTTTCTTGTGATGTCTTTCGATTTGACTAACGCCCCTACAACGTTCATGGAGTTGATGAACGGAGTGTTCTGACCTTATTTGGATTCTTGTGTGATAGTGTTGATTGATGACATCTTGGTGTACTCCAAGACTGAGGAGGACCACGTTCGACATTTGAGAATTGTACTTCAGAGATTGAGGGAAGAAAAGCTTTACGCCAAGTTCTCAAAGTATGAGTTTTGGCTTGATTCTGTTGCATTTTTGGGACACGTGGTGTCCAAGGAGGGTATTCGGGTGGATCCAGCCAAGATCGAGGTAGTGATGGGTTGGACTAGACCCACATCGATTACTGAGATCCAGAGTTTTGTGGGCCTTGCTCGCCATTACTGACGATTTGTGTAGAGCTTCTCTACTATTGCATCTCCCTTGACTAGATTGACTCGTCAGAGTGCGAGTTTCCAGTGGTCGGATGAGTGTGAGGAGAGCTTTCAAAAGCTCAAGACTTTGTTGACGTCGTCTCTTGTTTTGACTTACCCGAGGGATTTCACTATTTATTGTGATGCTTCTAGAGTCGGGTTAGGTGGTGTTCTGATGCAAAAGAATAAGGTGATTGCCTATGCTTTTAGGCAGTTGAAGACCCATGAGAGGAACTACCCTACCCATGATTTAGAATTGGCAGCTGCAATGTTTGTGCTTAAGTTGTGCGACACTATTTGTATGGAGTTCATCGTGAGGTTTTCACAGATCATCAGAGTCTTCAATATATATTCAAGTAGAAGGATCTAAACTTGAGGCATCGCAGATGGCTTGAGCTATTGAAGGACTATGATATTACTATTTTGTATCATCCAAGGAAGGCCAATGTGGTGCCCGGTGCTTTGAGTAAGAAGACTTCTAGCATGGGATGTCTTGCCGCTATTAGTGTGGAGGAGAGACCATTGGCTAGAGATGTCTAGAGATTAGCCAACAGTCTTGTCCGGTTGCAGATTTTTAAGGGGACGGGTGGTTTGATTGCTTTTATTGAAGCTCGTTCTTCCTTAGTTGAGCAAATTCGTGAGCACCAGTTTGATGATGAGAAACTATGCCACATTCGAGACAAGGTGATAGGAAGGGAAGCCAAGGAGGTTGTCCTTTGATTCTTATGGTGTCTTGCGGATTGGAGGCAGTATTTGTATGCCCAAGTGGGTAAGTTGATTAAACGGATTCTTGAGGAGGCCCATTGTTCCCGATATTCCATCCATCGAAGTGCGGTATGAAGAGAGATATTGCAGATGTGGTATGAAGAGAGATATTGCAGATTTTGTTTCGAAGTGTTTGACTTGCCAACAGGTCATCGTTTCACTTTGGAATAAAATTCAAAAATAGAACTTCTCAGCTCCTGTAATTGAAAAATAGTCGCTACAATGGTATTTCAACCAAAAAGTGATCAACAACCATCATTCGAGGCATTACAATCTAACAAATACACACCATACAGTCCTGTAGAACAATAAGGCAAAACATGTTATACATATAGCAACATATGATATTCTGATATCTCTATTGTATACACCATTTTCCTATTTGTTCTGGTAGCAGCTTGGGAGCAGAACACTTCTCCACTGACAGAGGTTCGAACTTCTTCCAATATCAACAGCCTCTGATTTTGGTTCACCACCTGCCAGTCTCATGCTTGAACAGTTGATAACATTGCACTAGAGATCGAAATATGGAACCAGCCAAGATGAAATGACAGCATGACTTGATAAAGTTCCTGTTAATATTTTCTGCTATCCTGTTGTGACGGTAATCAGAGTTGAAGCCTAGATTCGAGACATGAAATAATCTGACATCCAAAAGACTTCCGTAGATTATCGACTCAAAGCAAATACTAACCAAGAAGTTAACAAAGTTCAAGTATTTCCACAGAGGCATATTAGCAATCTAATTATAATGTGTATGAACATATAACACTTGTACATGTAAAGACCTTGACAATAAATAAATAAACAGCACAAATACACTTGTACAACATGAAGCATTCGACTATAAACGAAGAAAGAGCACAAACAATACTGGAAAGAAATATTGGGTTCAACTCAAAGAGCAAACATCAAAGTCTAAGAGTTGGCTAAAAGGACTCAACAGATGACAAATGTGATAGGTTTAGATTTTTTAGTTCTTTGTTTGCGAATGGGGGAATGAAAGAGGAGAAAGTTCCTGGAGCTCTCCAGGTTCAACCATTTAAGAATATAGATAGGAGGCTAATAAAGCATTTGAGTATACATGTTTGAGACTTCAGAATACAAATTCAAGGCACCAGCAACTTACACAACACGAAGATAAAATCACAAGCAATAAGTTTAGTGCGTTCTCATGATCTAGTAAAGTAGAAATCCGCAACAGCATATGTTCCTCCCTCCATGTGAGAAAACCAGCCTAATCAAACTGCCTTCCAGACAGAAAATAGTAGGATGTTCAATTGAAAGGTAGTAGTAAGTTTGTAACAACAAAATGTACAAGCTAATACCAAAAGTCTCGTGACACATACACAAACAAAGTCAATGAATGGTTTCAAAGAACAACAGAGCAATCACACTCGGTAACCATCACAAAATTCTTACCAGCAAATTCAATAACAAGACACTTCTCATCTTAAGACTGGTGAAATGAAGCATAAGCAGTGTTTGAGTTGGACCAGCACAAGTGCACAACCAAGAAACGAACGATATACACATACCTTTGTCGAGTCTGCAACAGGAAATATAGAAAGTGATAAAAGTGAAAGCTCTATTTCCTGAATTTATTTCTCAGGCAGACAGATAAAAAAGGTAATGGATAAATTATGTAATAGTTTGAAATGGTAAAAAATGACCCCGGCAGCGAAGGGAGCCAAAGAATTGAAAAGTCTCAAGTGCGGAAGTAATTTCAGAAGCAATGGTACAAGGAGCAGGGGGGGTTACAAAATTAATGTTGATCAATGACAGTCTCCATAGTATCATGGAATGTGAGGGGCCTGAATCAGGCAAGCAAGAGGTGTATCATCAAAAATTTAATTCACGAATGGAAAGCTGATGTTTATTGCTTTCAAGAGACCAAAATTCAAGGAGATATCAAGAATTTGGTTAAAGATTTGTGGGCAAACAGAGGGGTCAGATTTTGTCAGTTGGAAGCCAGTGGGACAAGGGGAGGTGTTTTAATTCTATGGGATGAGAAAGTTTGGACAGGAGAAGTAATTAGTCTGGGGGCCTATTCCCTAACCTGTAAGTTCACAGGGAAGAACCGCGACTTCACTTGGTGTCTTACAGGCATCTATGCTCCTAACAGCAGAGTAGAAAGGGAAGAAGTATGGTGGGAGTTAGGCTCAGCCAGAGGACTTTTTGATGGGCCTTGGGTAGTATGTGGGAACTTTAACACTGTCAGATTCCCTCAGACAAGAGAAACTGCTCTAGATTCACAAGAGCAATGTATGATCTGTCTGATTTCATTGAGGATATGAGCCTTCAAGATCCACATTTGATAGGGAGCAAATACACTTGGAGGAAAGGGGAGAGTCACGATGTTTCTGCCAGGCTTGATAGGTTCTTATTTTCTGAAGAATGGAATGAGGAATTCAAGAACATTAAGCAGACAACCTTACACAAGGTGACCTCTGATCACACACCCATTTTGCTCCAAAGTGGGAACTGGGAACCTAGAAGATCTTATTTCAAATTTGAAAATTGGTGGATGCAAACAGAAGGGTTTCTGGATAGAGTTAAGATGTGGTGGAATTCTATAGTCTGTGAAGGGAGGCTAGATTTTATCTTAGCTTTCAAATTGAGAGCCTTAAAAGATAAATTGAAGGAATGGGCTAAGACCTCCAATGGGAATTTAGCAATGCAGAAACAGAACATCCTTGCGAAGCTGGCAGAATTGGAGGAAATTCAGGATCAAAGAGCATTTACAGAAGATGAGACACTCTCAAAGGCAGAACTCCTTGTAGATTTTGAAAGCATAGCTAAATGTGAGGAAATAGCTTGGAGGCAAAGATCAAGGGTCAACTGGCTGAAACAGGGTGACAACAACACCAAGTTTTTCCACAGATCAGCAAATGCCCATAGAAGATATAACAATATTGATGAACTAATGGTGGGTGGGAAGCAACCAAAAATCCAGAAGTTATAACGAAGGAGATTGAGAAGTTCTATCAAAGATTATATACTGAAACTGAGACATGGAGGCCAGCTGGAGGATGCAGGGCAGACCGCAGAGTTTCTATTGAAGACAATCAAATGCTTCAAAAGGAATTTGAGGAACAGGAGATATGGGAATGTGTGAAACTTTGTGCTGGAGACAAAGCTCCTGGCCCTGATGGATATACCATGGCTTTCTATATCCATTGCTGGGAAGTAATAAAGGGGGAAGTAATTAGTACCATCAGGAATTTCCATGAAAGATGTTTCTTTGAGAAAAGCTTCAACTCTACCTATGTGGCTTTAATTCCTAAAAAGATGGGTGCTAAAGAGCTCACACATTTCAGACCTATCAGTTTGATTAGCAGTGTTTACAAGATCATCTCTAAGGTGCTTACAGAGAGGCTAAAAAAGGTTATTCACAAATTGGTGGACACTCAACAACTGGCCTTCATCAAAGGAAGGCAAATAATGGATGCCATCCTCATGGCAAATGAACTAGTGGACTCTAGAGTCAGAAGCAATATACCGGGCATTCTATGCAAGCTAGATATACAAAAGGCTTATGACCACCTCAATTGAAATTTTTTGCTGGAGACCCTCTCCAAAAGAGGATTTGGAGGCAGATGGATAAGATGGATGAAGTTTTGCATAAGCACAGTCAAATTCTCTGTCCTTATCAATGGCTCCCCTACAGGTTTCTTCTCCTCACAGAGAGGCCTAAGGCAAGGAGACCCATTATCTCCTTTCCTCTTCATCATTGCCATGGAAAGTCTTAATGATATGTTGAAAATTGCTCAAGAAAATAGCTGGTTGAAGGAATTCAAAGCTTCACACAGGGAAGGTACAAACTTGGAGATTACCCATTTGCAGTACGCTGATGATACATTGATCTTTTGCAAGGCTAGTAAAAACCAACTCATTATTCTCAGGGTCATTTTTGTTCTTTTTGAAGCAATCTCAGGATTACACATCAACTGGAATAAGAGCTTCCTATATCCAGTTAATGAGGTTCCTAACCTAATCTCAATGGCTGGGGTCCTTGGTGGAAGTATTGGGGAGCTACCAACTGTATATTTGGGCATGCCTCTGGGTGATCAGAATAGGTCTATAGATATATGGAATGGGGTGGTAGAGAAGTGCGAGAAGAGGTTGGTGAACTGGAAAAGTCAATATCTCTCCTTAGGAGGAAGATCAACACTAATCAATAGTGTTTTGGACTCTATGCCTACCTATATGATGTCCCTTTTCCCTATCCCTGATGGGGTCATTGAGAGATTGGATGTTCTAAGAAGAAATTTTCTCTGGGAAGGGAACAGTGAAACCAAGAAATTCCACTTGGTAAAATGGGATGCACTGATTGGGAGTAAACAAAAAGGGGGTATGGGGGTCAGGAACTTAAAAACTCAGAACCAATGTCTTATGATGAAATGGCTCTGGAGATTTGCTTCTAGTGAGTTAGCTCTCTGGAAAGAGAAGAAAAATGGTTAGATCAAGCCCCCCTAAGGGACACCTTCAATGATATTTACACCCTAAACCAACAACAAAGGGCCACTGTGGCCGAAGTCTGGTCAAATCAGGGATGGAATTTGAGCTTTAGAAGACCTTTTAATGATTGGGAGATTCTGAGGTTAGTTGAGTTCTACAGCAAATTGGAGCAATTCAAAGGAACTTCAACTGACCAAGATAGATTGGAGTGGAGTCAAGGTAGTTTCAGTGTGAAAGGGGCCTATAAAAAATTTAACCCTTGTGATAATCAGATTGAGGACTGGCCTTGGAAGCTTATATGAAAAGTCAAAATTCCTTATAAAGTTTCTTGCTTCACGTGGCTTGTGGCCAAACAAGTTGTTTTAACCCAAGAAAACCTCATGAAAAAGGGGGATACATCTAAGTCCTAGGTGTTTTTTCTGTGAAGAAAAGGCTGAGACTGTAACCCACCTTTTTATACACTGCAGGATTACCCTTCAACTATGGGAAATGTTTCTAAGTAAGAAGGGCTTGAACTGGGTAATGCCAAGGAAAATAGATCAGACTTTGAAGATCTGGAGCAGTTATGCTAACCTGTCAGACCATAAGGATAGGTGGAAAATTATACCAGCTTGCATCTGGTGGGCTGCTTGGACAGAAAGAAACCTCAGGTGCCATCAAAACAAGAGCAACAATATTCAGAAGATGAAGATGAAGTGCTTAGTTTTGTTTCATTTTTGGTGTAAACAGGAGTATAGGGAAGATCTAGAATCAAGTATGGATGTCTTAGGATCATTGTAATTTTTGTTAAAAGGGTTGAAGATCTTCTAGATACTCCTCCTCAATTGTAATTAGGAAACCTGTAACTTGTTGTGGCAGGTTTCTGTTTTTTGTGGAAATAGAATACAAGTTGTTACCTTCTCAAAAAAAAAAAAAATGAGCATGTCTCTGCCTCACAGAAGACAAACATATCAATTGATTTTAGTCAACTTAGCTCACTTAGAGGAATGTCTTGTTAGACCTTAAAACTAACAAATATATACTCCTCATTCCAAAAGAAAATTTGTTGCGGTGATTTAAAAAGGTCTAAAAAATTTAATTTTACTTGCATCAAATGGCAATTATGTGACTACAACACTAAACAAAAGTAAATATGCAAGAGAAGTAAATGATTACCTCCATAAAATTCTCTGATTCTTCTTTATCGATGGTGATTGGTCATGGTATCCATAGGTCGTAGTCTTGCTTCTTTTTCGACCAAATCCCGATATCGTTTTGCAAATTGATGAGTTCTTAACTTTAATCAATGAATTTGGTAGCGAACCAAAATCGAGTTTAAATTTGAAAGACCCTTCTTTATTTTCAGACCAAGAACAGAGAAGAGTGAATTCCAGAAAAAGAACGACTGTGAGGATTCATCATTCACAGTACAGTACAACAGCTTGAGAAGAACAAATTACATTTCTTGCAGCTGCTACAGCATAATGATGCCAACCTTAAAAGGTTTAAATTTCTCTGCAGACCTATGGGCGTATGTTACCAGTAATCCCCACATGAACAAACACCATTCTTGAAGTGATGAAAGCGATTGGAGTCCCTTACAATAATCTCTCTCTCTGTAATCTTAGAAATTAGTTTAGTTACATTGTGGCAGTCGCCACAAACCCGTAAATTTTTATAGATTCGTAAAGGATTTTTAGGAGGAGTGTTAAGAATTCCATAAGCAATAGCCAATCTCTCACTATGACTGGTAAGGATTTGTTCCTTCTCGTCATCCTCGACATCTTGTAATACAAAGGTATAATCTGGAGTATAACCTAAGGTCTTGATCTTAGCAGTTAAAATACCTAATTCCTCATATATCTCATGGCATTGTGGATGAGACTGATTTCCTGTATAAAAGACTTCAATCTTATTGTTTAGGTCAATTGAGCTCCATCCAGGAGTCTTCTTCAACCCCTTGTCTCTAGCCAATGATCTCACTTCATTCACCCCCTCCCATTTCCCATAATTAGCATAGATGTTGGACAGCACTACATAGTAGCCAACATTCTCTGGATCAACTTCAAACAAATTATCTGAAGCCAATTTACCCAGCTCAACATTTCCATGTACTCTACATGCACCAAGAAGAGCACCCCAAACTGAAGCATCCGGTTGCAAAGGCATGTTTTTTATAAATTGGTACGCCGTTTCTAGGCCCCCAGCCCTGGCAAGCAGATCAACCATGCAGCCATAGTGCTTTAGAACAGGTTTAATGCCAAACTCTTGCTCCATCATATGAAAGTAAGTTTTACCCTCATCAACTAAGCCTGAATGGCTACAAGCAGCCAATAGAGATAAAAATGTTACATGATCTGGTTTAACACCTGCATTCAGCATATCATTAAACAGTTTCAGAGAAACCCTACCATTTCCATGAATACCATGACATGATATTATGGCATTCCAAGGGACTGAACTCATTCTAGGCACCTCATGAAACAATAATATGGCTTCATCCAGTTTTCCACATTTTCCATAAAGGTCAATGAGGGACGTACTAACAAAGACGTCCAAATTAAGAGCTACTTTGAAAACATGCCCATGAGTCCTTGTTCCTTCTTGCAATGCCCCTAGATGAGCATAAGCTGGCAAAATGCTCACCCAAGTTCCTTGGTTTGGTTCTATGTCATCACACTCTTTCATCATGTTGTAAATTTCAATAGCCTCACTTGCAAGTCCATTTTGAGCATAACCTGTGATCATTGAGTTCCATGACACTACATCCTTTATAGGGATCTCGTCAAAAACCTTACGACTACAATGAATAAGACCCAACTTCGCATACATATCCACAACAGCATTACCCATAATAACATCTTCCTGAATCCAAGATCTCCTTGATACAAATCCATGAACCGATCTGCAACAACGAAAACTTTTGGTTTGAGCTATACTAGAAGCTAAGCTCACCAATGTCAACAAGTCAGGCTGAATCCCATTTATCATCATCTCTTGAAAGTACTTCAGTGCTTTTTCGGGAACATTATTCTGCTCGTATGCAGCAATTAAAGAGTTCCATGATACTAAATCTCTTACTACCATCATATCATCAAATACTTTTTGCGCATGCCTTAACTCACCAAATCTGGCATACATGTTTATTAAAGCATTCGACACAAAGACATCTAATTCTAGGCCATGCTTTATAACATACAAGTGAATTGGCAATCCATGCACAATATCACCAAGCTGTGCACATATAGGAAGTACTACTGCAATAGTCACTGTATCCATTTTTATACCCTCTAATCTCATCTCATCCAACAAGCTCAATGCCTCCGTAGCATTTCCATTCTGACAAAACCCAGATATCATAGCATTCCAACAACCCATATCCCGATAAGGCATGTCCTTGAAAATTCTAAAGGCAACACCAGAAGATTGGAAACGGCAATACATATGCACCAAGGAGGCAGCTACAAATACATCCCACTCTAACCCAAGTTTTGAAGCCCAGCAGTGTATCCTTACACCATCAATTATACTATTACAAGCTTTCAACACTGGCGGAAAAGTGTAAAAGTCAGGCTTAACATCAGCTGTGGACAACATTTCATTCAAACAATTCAGGGATTCACGGAAATGGCCATTACGAACATAAGATGATATCATAGAATTCCAGGTATAAGCATCTTTATTCTCTATCATGCAGAAAGTCTTCTGTGACAAAGAAACGTCACCCAAGTGAGCATAAAGATTCACAAGTCTAGTGCCAATAAAGATACTCTGAGCCTTCCCTGACACAATGAGTAGGGCATGAAGGCACTTCAAAATGTAGATTTTGGTACAGGAGTGGAATAAACGCTCAAAATCGAAATCTTTTTTCTTGCTTGCAACACCATTTGATAATACCTCATTGTAACTTCCACTTGAGTATAACTTGCACCAGAAAGAGGAGAATGACAGAGATTTTGTGGAACGCCAGCCTTTGAAGGCCAATAATAATCTGCAAAGACACAACAGAAAATGAAATCAATATGCAGACCAAAGATTACGCGTTAGAATTCGTCCTCTTTCTGGAAAGTGTGATAGGAAGAAGAAAGCATCATATCAATAGTCAAAATGCCACAACAATGTTAAGAACAAAAAGGGAATTTGAAGCTACCACTAATCCTAGAATAATTGATAAGTAATTGAACTATAAGCTCCTCAAGATAACATGTGGAATTACTCACAGTACAGCTACATGGAAGTGAATGTTTATGCAGTCGATTTTGAGGATAGGTTATCTAGTTGTACATCAGAGGGTTCTGAATACCCTCTTTCAAAAGCTGGACCTATCAAGTTAAGTCCTACACCCAGGTCGAACAAATTACCTAGATTAATAAAACTTGAGAGGGTGAAATTATTCTTGGGTATAAATGATACATGTAAATTAGGTTGTTGGCATTTGAATGACTTAAATATTTGCTAACAAAGCATCAGAATATCCTTCTATGATCCCTACTTTATCCTAACGGATGTGTACGCCTTAAATTGCTTTCAAGAGGATACATATGATGGGCAAATCTTTTTGACAATAATCTACACATTCCTATCAACCTTCCCACTTTCCAATTTGGGACATGAATTTTATTTTTTTTCTTTACAAATATCACTTCTTTCAGAACTTAAATGAAAGAGGTGAACAATCTCAGACTCTCTTTGCCTTCTTGAGTCAGATGACCATTTCCAACTATCAAGACATGCATTTAAAGCACATCCGCCAATTCATCCCTTGCATCCTTTTGTCATAACTTGTTCATCTATAATCCTTGATAGTAAAGACATTCAAAAGATTCTTTTACTCACGGTACACTACACACTCATCAACTCCAACGGTTGAGAAGGTCTTGCAAATTATCCAGTTTCAATTATTTTTATATGTGCAAGTATACCGATGAGATTGAACCTGCCTGTTCTTTTGGAGTATGTGGCAATTCTAAAATTGGTTTAGGTGAGGAAATGGAAATGGAATGGACAGATTTTATAGAGTTGCATTGTAAGATATACATAATTCTTCCGTTCAATCATGTGCGAGATAGAAGGATAGTATATTCCCCTTTTTACCCCCCCCCCCCCCCCCCCCCCCCCCCCCTT